TGGGTTGCGAGCACATCCCCAGCAGGAGGCGTGCAGGAGGCAGCTGATTGATGTTTCTCTCTATTCGATGTTTCTAACTCTCTATCCCTCTCTCTTCTCTGTAAAAAAATCAATAAAAATATTTAAAAACAACAACAACTGCTTAGCCTTAAAAACTTTTGTCCTGAGAAGTGGCCTTGACATGCTGGAGGTCTGAGCTGTGCATCCCTCCGTTCAGAAGGTTCCAAACCCCTCAAGATCAGTGGGTACCCCTCATCTCCAAGGCTCTGCAAACCCCACCACGCAGTCCTGGTGATTTGGCAGTACAATCCAGCCAGACCAGGTCATTTCATATCACCAGAGTCTAAAACAAGTTTTAACATCCAGGATGGACCTGACTTTCAAGACAGTGTTGTCAACAGAAACCAGTGGTTGTAAATTTTCATGCACAGTGGTATTGTCCATGCAAGATCCTGGGTCTAAGATTAGAGAAGGTGGTGGCCATGCAGCAAGTACAGGTGGTGATGGCCAAGATAAAGGTAGATATTGATGACCACACAGACCACGCCCCAGGGTATTGGCTGTGCCTCTCATGCTGGCCATCAAGAACGGGGACACGGCAGAAAAGTTTCTGGGCATCAAGGATGAGGACCAGCTGGTGAGAAGGCTAACCCCTATTTTGTAAAACTACTGTTTGGAATTCTCTGCTATTTTTTAGACGGCCTCTCATTCTAATTAATAACTTTGCTTTCTAGCCTGCTTGAATAATAAGGAAGATAAATTTAGCTGTCTGACCCTGTAGGACAGAGACTAGATATGTGTTATAACATACCCCGGTGAGCAGAGGGTGCGGGAGATGGGAGCCGGATAGGTGGAGGTGGGGAGCTCGGCGCAGGTCCCCAGGTGACCAGTGAAGGTGCTCCGCCATGGGGGAAAGGCATTTTCATCTGGCAGCCCTTTTCTCTCTGTTCCCACTGGGAAAAAGCGCTTGCCTCCAGCCAGCAATGGTGGCATGGTGGGGGCCAGCAGCCCTTAGCTGGCCAGGGGAAATACACCCTGCATGTTACAAAGCGCTCCTGTGGCAGTGGGTTGGGTACCAGGTTCCTGCCATCGTACCCGTCCCCTGTGACAGAGCAGCAATCAGGTCTCTCCCAAGAGAGTGCACTGGAAGGGGATATCAGCCCCTCCTCTGCTAGCAGCAACAGGTACCAAACCCTTTCAGTACATTTGACCAGCTTCATTCCCGCCCACCTTTACAGATTCCAGGGCCCATTGTCTTCCTTTAACCAGCAAGCCAAATGACACTGGCCTGTATTATTTCCCATTGTGAGTTACAGGAAGACAATTCCTGTGGAGGAAAATGACTTCGTCGGCTTGGAAAAGAAGGCAGAGGATGACAAGGGTGTGCAGGGAAATTTTACTAAAAGCCTGGAGGGTCTCCTGAAAGATCCTCAATTCAGCACAGGCAGGGGGCAGGGCCCATAAATTCTCTCTGCCCTGAGGAATGTCCCAATCAGACAAGAAAAGCCACAAATACCTTTAAATCTACTCTAGAATTCCAAAATTTCAACCCAACACAGAAATATCACAGAGCAAATCAAAGTCCCTAGTACACAAACATAGACAGAAATTTTTACTAGTTAGGCAGGCCGATTCCACCTCTGACAGAGAGCAAGCACCCTTTGGGAAAAGAACCCAGCGGCCTCTTGGGGCGTTTTGCTATCGGTCAGAGCATTCAGCCTTAAATCAAACATTTTTTCTCGCAGACTTCCACACTTACATGAACAAATAATTATACCGAAGTAGACATACAAACATCAAATAAACATCCACATTTACACCCTTTCAGTGAACAAGTACTTTTACAGTCTTGGGAACTTTGGCAGATAACAGGAAGATTGCCCAAGTCCCTTAAGGGGGGGCCTGACAAGAACAGATGTGGGGGCCTTTGGCTGGGGGGTATAAAGTCTCCATTCTTCCTCTCTCGGCACTGCTAAGGACAGGATCATTGGAGAGGTCTCTTCACCTAGGCAAGGCTGTGCTGAGCCATCTGGGGCAAAAGTGGTTTCTGCTTCCATTTTGGCTAACAGGTCTCTGCCCATTAGAGGGACCAGGTCAACTCGCAAATATAGGAATTCATGAACCACATGGTGGCCGCCTAACTGACATCGGTGGGGGAGGCAGAACGGTCTGCAGCTGTGGTCCCGGTAGCTCCAATAATGGTCACTTCCTATCCTGAGAGGGGAGCTACCTTCTGAGTAACGGCCGAGTGCTCAGCCCCTGTATCACCCATAAAGTTCAGTCTGGCCCCTGATTTTCATTTCGACCATCAGCTCATGGGGGCCCAGTAGGAAAGAGCCCAGTCTGTCCTAGTCAGAGTCAACTGTTGCCAGTCCTAGGAGGTCTGCCAGAAAGGGTACCATCAGCAACAGCAGCGCGAGGGTCAGACCTTTAGAAATCTAACCCCTTTCCCTTAACTGCAACACTCGTCATGTAATATTCCTACCGGGAAATTTGCAATTTCGCTTGGATAATTACAAGGAGCCTCAACACTCGAGAGACCAAACTCGTGTCACCCTATAGCTGCTTTTCGGGACACTGATACTAAGTCGCTTATTAACAAAGGACTCAAACTTTGGCCCTCCCTTTCTTGCCCAAGAGCTTCAGACGGAGAAACCTGCTTCAGGAAGGTCTTAAGATGCTGCCTTAACTTAGGTACTGGGCAATAAAGAAGAGGGCTTCAGGCAGGGACTGGCTAGGCTAGGGGTGAGAGACGTGACAAGCTCTTTCACTGAGAAGGTAGGTGGCTCTGAAAAGAGCCTTTGGGGGTGGGGGGGGGGGGGGAGGGTCCATGCGT